GACTAAGTTATTTCAAAATAATGTAGCTGTGTAGATGTGATGTACCCTCAGATACTTTCTTCCCAACCTCTTTCAAGCCTGACAACCTATTTCACACCCATTTTCTGCCTCAGAGAGCAGCATCACAACTATCCCAGCAGCTCATTCGCCACCAGCCCCTTTTTGCAAAGGCATGCACCAGACCGTTGTGGGAAGAGATAACAGGATGTTGTATAGTGTCACAGCCTATCCCACAAGAGATTGAAGAAAAGAGGATAGATATAGAGCCACAATTAACATTTTTAAAAGGAGCTGTAGCGGAAGCCAGCCTTCCGTGCATTTCACACCTCATTTACATCAAAAGCTAAGTATGGGACATTTCCAGTCCCCTCAGTTCCATTAGCACTGGTACTACAATTGACAGGCTCCACCCCCACCTTTTTTTTCCTGTTATAAATCTGGGTTCCTGTTTTCTTCCACTCCAGCTGATCTGAAGAAGTGGGTTTTGCCCACAAAAGCTCATGATACTATATATAACATGTTAGTCTCTACAATACCACAGAATTGCTCGTTTGTCAAGTTACAGACTAACATTCCCCAAGCTGTAGGGGAGATAGCTAAACTTGTTAAACATTACAAAAAACCCACTTTTACAAAAGAAATTAGCCCTCCCAATTCCATCATCATCACTACATTTAAACTCCCCCAGCAATTAACAGACCATATTCAGTACAACCTAAGTAGCAAAGCCCTAGTTTAAGGAGAACAGGATTCTAATGTTATACTGTCCTCCACCGAAATAACACACAGAACAAGCAACACAAAGTTAACATTTAAGATTGTTATTGAACCAGGATAGCTCAAGAAACAGGATGTTTGGTTTTTAAAGAACAGGATGAATAAGATTGTCTCTTTATGCTGGAGCGGCATATTTTAAAGCTCTAGAGCAGATACTGAAGGAGTACTTCAAGCCAGCTTGTGCTGCAGAATGCAGGCTAATTGCTGAAAGGTGGTTCCTGGGCTTTAGGTCACAGGGGTGAGATGATTTTTGGGAAGTTACAAGGAGCACTCTTTACCACCAGCCATCCCTGGTGGTAAAGAGTTCCTGTGGTGCACACATCATAAGTTCATGCCTTAGATTCTACTCAGTCATATAATGAGCAAGACAGGCTTACTCTGAGAATTAGTGTAATTACAGAAAATCTAGAATTTGAGATTAATACAAACTTGAGTCTTTCCTACATTGAGAAGCCCCCGAACTAAGTCCCTTTCATTGTTCACAGTGAGCTACAGTAAGCAGCATCAGCATCTGGGTATAAATAAAGAGTATAAACAGAAGCACTAGTGTGCCAAAAAGACAGCCAAAAATGACTAATCCTACTAGAAACTTGGAGCGGAATTATGTAGACCATATTGTTTAGCAACAAACATATTATGGCTTTAAAAAAAAAAAAAATCTATCTCCAACCATCTAGCCCAGCCCCCAGATCCTACTGCTATGTCTACACTGTGCATTATTGCGCAAGATATGCAAGTGAGGTACAGATGAAATCGCCGCGCTTCATTTAAATACCTAATGAGCTGCCATTTTTGCAGCACAGGCTTTTGCACAAGGAGCTGTCTAAACTGCTCCTTCTTGTGCAAAAAACCCTCTTGCGCAGAGCCATTCTTCCTGAAAATAAGTGGTGGAATGACTGCACAAGAGGGGCTTTTTGTGCAAGAAGGAGCAGTGTAGACAGCTCCTTGTGCAAAAGCCTGTGCCGCAAAAATGGTGGCTCATTAGGTATGCAAATGAGGTGCAGCAATATTCATCCCAGTGCCTCATTTGCATATGATTGTGCAACAATGCGCAGTGTAGACATAGCCTCGGTGAGCTGCTTATTCCTCCCTTGAAGTCCTGACAGTATATTCTCAGAAAGTTTGACTCCAGCTACAGACTGAAGCAGGACCACCAGATTAAGATGACAGAGATCCTGCATTCGTAAACATAGAACAACAGAACTGGAAGGGATTGATCAAAAGGGCATCAAGTCCAGTCCCCTGCACGACCAAGCACCATCTTGATCAGGCCTGACAGATGTTTAACCCACTCTTAAATGTCTCCAATGGTGGGAGATTCCACAGCCTCCTTAAGGTACGTCTAGACTACATGCCTCTGGGGACAGAGGCATGTAGATTAGGCTACCCTGCATAGGAAAATGAAGCGGCAATTTAAATAATCGCCACTTCATTCAAATTTAAATGGCTGGCGCGCTGAGTCGATCAGCTGTTTGTCGGCTCAGCGTGCTAGTCTGGATGCTCCGCAGTCAACATCAAAGGCATTTGTCGACCTCCCAGGTATGCCTCCTGGGATGAGGTTTACCTGGGAGGTTGACAAATGCCTTTGATGTTGACCGCGGAGCGTCCAGACTACCATGCTGAGCCGACAAACAGCTGATCGGCTCAGCACGGCAGCCATTTAAATTTAAATGAAGCAGCGATTATTTAAATCGCCGCTTCATTTTCCTATGCGGGGTAGCCTAATCTACATGCCTCTGTCGCCAGGGGCATGTAGTCTAGACATACCCTTAGGCAATTCTAACCTCTACCTTGTGCAGTCACTCCCCCAGTATGAAATGGGTATAAAAGGTTACCACTCTGATTTGACAGTATTGGATATCCATTTTGCACTGCTGTAATTGACTGCCCAAGATGAAAGGACAGGATCAGACCTAATGTTCCAACCTTGAAAAATCAATTATAGTTTGAAGAGTTTGTTTGTGGATTTGTGTGTGTAAAATAAAGCCATACTTTACAATTACCTATAGCTACCAAATTTTGCATCAACAATCCTGCCACTTAAATTAGCTGAATCTACTACTTAACACCAGAATATGTGGGTGAAAGGTTTAAAATCACTGTTTCTTAAAGTGGTCTGCGAACCCACTCTGAGAAAGCTGCTACACTACCAAGCTCCTCCGGTTTGTTTACTTATTGGCTCCGAAGCCACGAAGCATCATGGCTCCCCTTAACTGCAAAGGGCAAACTACAGCCAATGCGAGCCACAAGGCTCTGAGACTGCAGAGCCAGTAAACGAACCAGAGTGGCCTGGTAGCAGCTCTCTGAGTGGGTCCGCAGACCATTTTGAGAAACACTGGTTTAAATAACTTTTCTCTTCATCAGAAAAAAAAAGTCATGACTTATGATTACAGTTCTTTAAAAGTATTTGCTAACAAAATTAAAATCAAGTCGCCTATTCAACTGTCATGTTAGTACAAAGAAAATGGTTACTGTTACAAATCACAAAATAATTCAAATTAGTGACAGAAGGAGTAATGGAAGCTTTAGGAGTTCCTGATTCAAATTTTCTATGTATAGTAATTATTCAGGAAAATGAATAATGTTTGAAGTTGAAATCCTACAGATTTAAAAAAAAGTTCTTGTACTTCACTTTTGCAAGCACATTAATAAAACACTGATATTTTAATCTCTTGAACTTTCCTACAAGTGTAATCGATGCAAAATGACTTTGCCCAGACAAGGACAGGCCTCACCTGCTAGTATTTTGTATTTCATGTGATGCAGTGGTTCCTGTGGTTAAGAGCTGTTAACTTTGCCTAGTATGCCCACTACATAATTAGATGCATGTGAAAACAATAAAATGTGTGGAAACCAGACAGTGGGTAGCTACTATTTTCTTTTCATCTCTGTAGGAGCTGCAATAAGCATTTAACTGAACTAACTGGGATGATACCAAAACATTTCCATCAACTTGAAAGCAGGTTCAAAGCTTGTCATATAGTAAGGGAGGTTACATGAATGAAATATAAAACCAGTTCTGGCTGTAGAAGCTCATGCTAATGTTAACTTAAGAAAATCCACACAACATATTTTCCTTCTAAGGACCAATCTGAGACAATAGCTGCCTCAAACCACAGTACAAGGTATACTAGAACGCCAGGTGCTGATCATATTCACTGCTGCAATTTATAGTGCTGCATAGGATTTTACAAGAGTTCCAGTTTTTCCTGAATATTCGAAGTTCAAACTTCACAATTCTGCCTCTTTGTTCTTGTCTGTCTGTCTCTGCACACATCAGCCCTTTGCTGCTGCTCAAATCAGTTTCGCAACAAAGTCTCTGATCTTTCCTCCTCTTTCCTCTACTTTGCTCCTTAAGCATGTTGTATCCTCCCTCAACTGGTCTGTGGGCCTGGTCCATTTTCCTCAAGTATTTCTTCAAGACCAATCCTACACTACACTTTTAAGAGATCAGCCAATTCATGACAACTGGTTGAGTTGAAGTCTTTTTGTTTAGAGACCTGTGAAGGTCTATAAAACATGTATGTAGTTGGATGCTTCTCAAACTGTTACTTTTTTTAGATTTTTAAGATGGAGCATACAGACTGTATTCCCTCCATACTTGTAGCACAATAGGACCCTTTTTCTGAGCCTGTCAAATAATCCTTCCAAGTATACCCAGGCTATGGTATAAGACTAATGCAAGAACCAAGTACAGAAGAACATGATTTGCAGTGAATAACAGCAGGCTAACTGAAACTTCCATGTAAAGAAACACATCTTTGATTTTCTTTAAAAAAAGTTTATTATGTAAATTATAGGATGTGGGCTAAGTCCCCGTCTCCTACTCTGCTTTACAAATTCCAATGCTCCATACTGCATCCTCAGACCACTCAGGACTGCTCCTAAACAACTGACTCCAGCCCCAGCTAAGGAGCAATCTTTGATTGTGAGCACCATATTAGTTTGTCCAGTATCAGACCTTATCTACTTGAACAGCTGACAAAGCAAGGAAATGTTTGTCCCTCCATTTGGGACAGCTGTATGTGAAGGACTAAAGACACTACTGAAAACAATTTTCTCTGCCCTTCAGTTCCTACCTCCCCAGAACTGAATTATCCCCAGAGAATGTAAGACACACCTAGGAGCGCATTTGATGTTTGCACCACTGGCAGCTACTGCTTTCCAGTGGTTTTGCACCATAATTTCCAGGAGTTGGGTTTATTCAGAAAATAGTGTAGCTGTGACTGTTTTAAAAATATTTCTTTAATCATATGCATCAAACTGTGGGTATTTGAGGGGAGGAAGGGAATTCTGTCCAAGTTTTCAGCCAGGTATTGTTCTCAAGTTAACAATGCGCTGGGGGCAGCAGTACCCTCAGTCCGTGGATTCCAACACGGATTCGCTCAGAGCCAAGTCCCAGTAATGCTCAGCTCCGTGTTTTTTAAAGTGCTCCCGTGCCATGTTTTCAGTGGGGCACTGCTTAAATTTCATTTCACCAAAGCTGCGATCCTTCGCTGTACCCTGAAACAGACAAAAAGATAACAAGCTTCCTGATGCATCTTGCTAACAAGAAAAAAACCCAAGCAAATGCATCAACAAGCAAATGCAGCCACAACAACAAGAGAAAACAAGAATAAATCTCTTTAGAACGGAAAGAAAGTAATTTCTCAGGTTTCCAGACAAGTGTGCAAAGAGGAACAACAATTTGCATAATTAGTGCTATTTTTATTTGTGCAGAGCTGAAAAGTTGTGTAGAAACACGCACAGAAGGGCAGTTTCCACTGTCACTCAGTTCACGTGAAAGGAAACATCACTATCGGGAACAGCAATGGGCAACCATGAATAGTGGATGCACTGCATTAGTTGCTCTCCTTTACCTCAGTGGACTGCAGCAGCTCGTGGCCCACTGAGGTTCCACCTGCAGCCCCCCCTTCCTCCATGTACTCATGCATTGGGGCACCAGAGCCCCGCACTTGCCTGCTCATCTCCCTCCCAACTCATTTCAAGTGCACAAATCACCTGATCACAAACCACCTGCACTCCTGTCCCTGCTCCTCCCTCTCCCTCCAAGAGCTGGAAGGGCAGGAACAGCTGATTCATGGCATTCCACCTATGAAAGGGAAGGGGGGAGAGGGGACAGAATGTGATTCACAGCTCTTCTGAAAGTGCTGGGAGGCAGGGGGAGGTGTAGGAAGTGCAGGCTTCTGGTGCCCTAGTGTTTGAGGCGCACATGGGGGAGGGGAGTAGCTTGGGAGGGGGTCCGCTGGCCACAGGTTGCCCACTACTGATCTGGAAAATACTTTTCTCTGATACAGTCTTCAACAAACTGAACTTTTAAAGAGAAGTTCTGTGATTGTAATTAATGTTATAACACTTATTCCAGTCTGTGTCCATACTTGTCTGGAGTAGCCAGTGTCCTTTATTATACTATGCAGGATAATCTCCAGACTTTGCATAAGAACAGCCACACTGGGTCGGCCCAAAGGTCCATCTAGCTCAGTCTCCTGTCTGCTGACAGTGACCAATACCAGATGGCCCAGTGGGAGGGAACAGAACAAATCATCATCATATGATCCCTCTCCTGTCATCCATTTCCAGACAGAGGCTAGGGACATCATTGCTAATAGCCATTGATGGACCTAAGCTCCATGTCTCCATCTAGCTCTTTTTTGAACCCTGCCCTGTTAAAGCCCTAAGTCTTTACAACATCCTTTGGCAAGGAATTCCACAGGTTGACTGCGCTGAGTGAAGAAAAACTTCCTTTTGTTTTAAACCTGTTGCCTATTAATTTCATTTGGTGATCCCTCGTTCTTATATTGTGGGAATAAGTCACTGGTTTATTGTCATTTCCTTATTCACTTTCTCCATACCCGTCATGATTGCATAGACTTCTATCATATTCCCCTCCCCTTAGTCTCCTCTTTTCTAAGATGAAAAGTCCAAGTTTTTCTTTTTCTCTCTCTTCATATGGGACCCATTCCAAACCCCCTACTTCTGAACCTTTTCCAATGCCAATGTATCTTTTGAGAGGAGATGACCACATCTGTATGCAGTATTCAAAATGTGAACATACAAGGTTTTATATAGAGGCAATAAGATATGCTCTGTCTTATTCTCTATCCCTTTTTTAATGATTCCTAACATGCTATTTGCTTTTTTGACTGCTGCTGCACACTGAGTGGATGTTTCCACAGAATGATCCTCAATGACTCAAAGATCTCTCTCTAGTAGTTGTAGCCAAATTAGTCCCCATCATATTGTATGTATAGTTGGGATTATTTTTTCCAATATACATGACTTTACATTTATCAATATTAAATTTCATTTGCCATTTTGTTGCCCAATCACTTAGTTTGGTGAGTCTTTTTGAAGTTCTTCACAGTATGCTTTTGTCTTGACTATCTTGAACAGTTTAGTATTGTCCGCAAACTTCACCGCTTACCCCTTTCTCTAGATCATTTATGAGTAAGTTGAATAGGATTGGTCCCAGGACAGACCCTTGGGGGACCCCACAAGTTGCCTCTCCACTCTGAAAACTGACCATTTATTCCTACCCTTTGTTTCCTGTCTTTTAACCAATTATCAATCCATGAAAGGACCTTCCCTCTTATCCCATGACAACTTAACTTAAGAGCCTTTGGTGAGGGACCTTGTCTGCAAATCTAAGTACACTATATCCACTGGATCCCCCTTGTCCACATGTTTG